TTCGGAACAAATATAAATACTTTTGATTTCTGGTTGGACAATGCGTCTTACAACTTAGTTCTAGCATAATCTAATCTTATTTACAGTAATATTATTATGTGTAATGTACAGGGTGTCAAAACGGAAAACCACAGTCTTCTTGTTTGTCTATATATTTTTTCTCTCAGCTAGCAACTAGTTGATGATTAAAGTGGAACATCTAGTTGCTAAAAACCAGATATTTTTCTAAGTCATGGACACCAAACAAAGCTAAAAGGAGATGAAGGTTAAATGTGCTTCATCAAGCAAACACAAAATGACTCCAAAAGCTTGTTTTGGAGTTCTTCTTCCACCTAGTGGTAAAATGTATTAATGCAGCTCAAACCATGTAACTGCTGTCTCTAATGATGTAAGTGAAACATAAACTGTGATTAAGACATGGGTCTGTCCAAGAGAATCATGTAATCAGCTGCAATGTGAAATGGCCTTGTTATTAATCTTAAACGTCCTCAGACCTAATCCAGTCTGGAGCCATACACCTCCACCTCACACAAGCTCAGATATTCAGTTCTTCCAGGATTGACTATGTTAACATAGCGACCATCCATTCCGTTACATGGGAAGTTTGCGGTGAAACCTCCAGTGATGCTTGAGATCACAGCACACCTAGCAGAAGAAGAAATTACTTTGTTAACTCATCGAATAGTCAGTTTAATAAATGGGCTTCCTCCACGGCGCCCTCCCAGCTCCTCCTCGCCTCACCACCTGTGCCTCACCTGCCCCTCGGCCCTCCGTGCCCGCGTCCCCCGGCGTCCACCTCTCCTCCCTCACCTCTTCCCTAGCCCCCTCCGTGAACCCTCAATAAAACCTCCTTCCCTCTGAGCGTTGCGTTTGAGTCCTTTCTGTCCCGTCTCCTAACACCTCTCCTGAAAAAGCCCAACCTTGATCCGGATGTTTTAGCCAACTATAGACCTATATCTAACCTTCCATCTCTCTCCTGATCCTGGCAGTTGCTAAACAGCTGTGTGACTTTCTACAGAGAAATAGTTTATTTGAGGATTTTCAGTCAGGATTTAGAACTCATCATAGCACAGAGACAGCACTGGTGAAAATTACTAACGACCTCCTTAGTGCATCAGACAAAGGACTTGTCTCTGTACTGGTTTTATTAGATCTTAGTGGTGCATTTGACACCATTGATCATCAGATCCTATTGCAGAGACTGGAACATTTCATTGGCATTAAAGGAACCGCTCTAAGCTAGTTTAAGTCCTATTTATCAGATCGATTTCAGTTTGTACATGCTAACGATGAATCCTCCATGCACGCCAAAGTTAGTCATGCAGTTCCACAAGGATCTGCGCTCAGACCAATCCTCTTCACTTTATATATGCTTCCTTTAGGAAATATTCCATAAGCTTTCATTGTTATGCAGATGATACTCAGTTATATCTATCGATTATACCAGATGAAACTCATCAGTTAGCTAAACTTCAAATGTGCCTTCAGGATGTTAAAACCTGGATGACCTGTAATTTTCTAATGTTAAACTAAGATAAAACTGAAGTTATTGCTCTGGGGCCTAAGCACCTCCGTGACGCATTATCTAAAGATATAGTTTCCCTTGTTGGCATCGCCCTGGCCTCCAGCACCACTGTGAGGAATCTTGGAGTTATTTTTGATCAGGACATGTCGTTTAAGTCTCACATTAAGCAAATTTCAAGGACGGCCTTTTTTCACCTACCTAATATTGCGAAAATCAGGAACATCCTGTCTAAAAATGATGCAGAAAAACTAGTCCATGCATTTGTTACTTCTAGGCTGGATTACTGCAATTCCTTATTATCAGGATGCTCGAAGTCCATTAAGGCTCTTCAGCTGATTCAGAATGCTACAGCACGTGTTCTGACAGGAACCAGGAAAAGAGATCACATTTCTCCTGTTTTAGCTTCTTTGCATTGGCTTCCAGTAAAATCCAGAATAGAATGTAAAATCCTTCTTTTCACCTACAAAGCTCTTAATGGTCAGGCACCATCTTAAAGAGCACATAGTACCTTACTACCCCACCAGAGCACTGCGCTCCCAGAGAGCAGGGTTACTTGTGGTTCCTAGAGTCTCCAAAAGTACAATTGGAGCCAGAGCGTTCAGTTATCAAGCTCCTCTCCTGTGGAACCAGGTTCCAGTTTGGGTTCAGGAGGAAGACACCATCTCCACATTTAAGAGTAGGCTTAAGACTTTCCTCTTTGATAAAGCTTATAGTTAGGGCTGGCTCAAGTGAGTCCTGAACCATCCCTTAGTTATGCTGCTATAGACCTAGACTGCCAGGGGATTTCCCATGATGCACTGAGCTCCTCTCTCCTCTTCTTTCTCTCCCTCTCTATGCAACCTCATAAATTAATGCATGTTACTAACTCGACTTCTTCCCTTTCCGGTAGTCTTGTGCTTTCTCGTCCCTCTCCTCTCTCCTCCTATCACTTCCTGCAGGTGTTTCTGGCTCTGGAGCTGTGGAGTCTGGATCTGTGGTTGCGAGTCACCTGTTGCCCCCGTGTTCCTGCTTAAAAGGAAGTTTTTCTTTGCCTCTGTCGCCTAGTGCTGCTCTTGGTGGGAACTGTTGGGTTTCTGTAAATATCATCACAGAGTACGGTCTAGACCTGCTCTTTTATGAAAAGCACTCAGAGATAACTGTTGTTGTGATTTGGCACTATATAAATAAAAGTGAATTGAATTGAACTGAATTGACAGTCATGTTTATCACTCTGTTGCATCCCCTCGTCTGTAAGCATCTGGGAACTGAGGAGACTAACTGATGTAATCTTGAAAGTGGAATGTTTTCCCATTTTTGCTTGATGTAGGATTTCAGTTTGGGGTCTCCTTTGTCGTATTTTACGTTTCATAAAGCACCAAACATTTTCAATGGGTGACAAGTCGGGACTGCAGGCAGGCCATTTTAGCCCCCAGATTATTTTACTAATACGTGCAAAATGTGATTTGGCATTGTCTTGCTGAACTAACCAAGTCTGTCTGTCTGGTGCCTTCACAAATGTGCGGGTTACCCATGCCATGTGCACTAATGCGCCGCCATACCGTCACTGATGCTAGCATATCAACTGTACTCTGATAACAAGCCAGACCGCCCCTCTCCTCTTAAGCCTGGAGGATGCTGTGCCCATGAATTCCAAACAGAATTTCTAAATTTGACTCATCAGGCCTCAGGACAGTATTTCCACTTCTCAGTCCATCTTAAGCTCAGGCCCACAGAAGGCCGCAGTGTTTCTGGATCTGGTTTATATACCATTTCCACTTTGCATGGTAGAGTTTCAACTTGCATTTGTGGATGCAGCAACAAATGGTTTTTGAAAGTGTTCCTCAGCCCATACAGTGTGATGTCCACTACAGAATCATGTCTGTTTTTGATGTAGTGCTGTCTGAAGACCCAAGGGTCACGGCCATCCAATGTGTTTTGCGGCATTGACCCTTGAATACAGAGATTGCTTTTAATGATATTGTGTACTGTAGACAATAAAATCCCCAGATTCTTAAATTGTTGCACTCTTTTCCAGCTCAGTCTTTCGAAAAATGGTAAACCCCTCCCCATCTTTACTTGAGAAAGACTCAGCCTCTCTGGGATGTTCCTTTATACCTAAACATCATCTGACCACAGGAGATAGTCTTCAACCCGATGCAAGTTACCGACCATGAGCCGGTGGTCATTAAAAACCAGGAAGTAACTCAGGTGTCCTCAGACAAATATTTAGGTGTCCACATTGACAGTCTTCTTTGCTGGAATACACATGTTGACAACCTGTGTGACAAATTGCAGCAGAGGCTTTATTTTTTAAGGTGTCTCAGGTTGTATGGTGTGAGCAGTCAGATCATGATGATTTCCTACCATGCAATCTTAGAGAGTGTCATCAGATATGGAATTACTGCATGGTTCAGTTAAGTTGAAAAACAAGCTTGCTTGAGGACAGACTGAGCCTCTACAGAGCCTGTATGATCAGGCAGTTATGAAACAGGCTAGGAAAATTAAATCAAACCCTCAACATCCCCTCTTCCCTGAATATGAAACCAAAGGAAGAAGACTCCGTGTACCAAAATGCAAATCCAGTCATCTAAAATTACCATTTGTGCCAGCCTCCATTAAGCTGTTGAACAATGTAAAATAGTGTTGTGTGCAATAAACATGTGAGCACTACAGCACTTTACTTGTGATCTCGGTGCAATAGGGCAACGTGCAATAAACATACTAGCACCTTAGCAACCCACTTTGCACAAAGTTCAGTTCAATTCAGCAATGTGCAATAACCACACTTGCACTTTAATCCATGGAACTATGTTGTGAACATTGTCCTTTTTCTTCTGTGTTCATATTTTCCTCTAGTGAAGTACAACATGTCGATGCTTCTCAGGTTCTTGTTGATGTGTTTTGTGAAGTGTGATGTCTTTTGTGATGTTTTTTATGAATCAACACTGCACTGTGCCCAAGCAGAATTTCCCTTTGGGGACAATAACCTAACCTAACCTTTTGCCAGTTCACATAATTAAATGTGAGATGTTCAGCTGTGTGTTTTCTTTTCAGTGTTTTGTTGCCACTATCCAAACTGTTGAAATGTGTTGCTAGCGTAGACTGTATATAAAAAGGTTGCCAGTCTTAAATTTAAAAAAGGGGCATATCATTTTCCAAAAACAATAACATTTCTAACTTTCAACATTTGATAAGTTATCTTTGTGCTATTTTCAATTAAAAATGGGATCTCAATGTTTTGCACATCATCACATTTTGTTTGTATTTGCACTGCAGTGTGCCTTTTTTGGAAATGTGGGTTGCAGAAAACAATAACATTTTAACGAAGTTTATATTGTATACAGGTGCAAAGTTATAAATATGATTTACTTGAAAAAGCTTTCAGAACTGAAAATATTACATAACTTGTAATACCTCTCAAACTATGTCAAGAAATGATCAGCATTTATACTGTGTTCAGGCACTATAATATTAGGTCTCCCCCTCTCTATGATGGCCGACTTTTCACCCTGCCTTCAGGTATGGTTGATCTGAATAAATATAAATACTTTTGATTTCTGACGTAGTTGGACGTCTTACAAAATCGTTCTCATGTAGCATAACCCATTTACAGTAAAATTATTCAATTAATCAATCAATCTAACTTTATTTACATAGCACATTTTGTGCTTAAATGCAATGCAAGGTGCTTGACAGCAAAAATAAAATACAACAAACAAATAAATATGTAAATAACTAATAGGTTCATTTAAGGGATAAAATAAATAGAAATCAAACGCAAAAAGATCAAATATGAACAGAAGTATATATATGAAAATAAACAAACATCAAATAAAGGATTGATATCACAAGCAAGCACAAACAAAATCATTAGGACAGAAGGAGACAATTATGTGTAATGTCCAGGGTGTCTTTCATAGTGACAAAAACACAGACAATCATCACCAACATAGCTCTTTTTTTACACAAATGTATGGTTCATTTCTTAGCTCCTATCAAGACAGGCTGCTTTCAGTGAAAACCCACTGTATGCTACCAGCACAAAGCAGAAGTCAAAGTTAGCAGCTAAGCTGATGATCAAAGTGGAACATCTGGTAGCTAAAGAACCAGATATTCTTCTAAGTGGTGGATGCCATACCAGAGGTGAAAGGAGACAGGTTGGATCAGGCTGACATAAAACGACTCCAAATGAGTCATTCTTTCACCTAGTGGTAAAATGTATTAATGCAACTTTAATATATGCTTTAAGCCAGTGGTTTTTCACGTCAAGGACTGCTAAACTGCCACAAATTAGACCACTGACCCCCATTTGATGAGATTTTGTCCCAGGATTGCCCATCTGATAGGATTTGGGCTTTTTGAAGTTTTATTACAGAAAGTGTATGAAACCCATCATCAAAATAGTCATACGTTCTGTCACTGTGTTACTCATGGATGGAATTATAGTGAAAATAAGGGTTAGGGTACCTAACCCTATATGATTCCCCTTTTAGCTGGGAACTGGCTGTGACCTCCTCAAAGACCCCTGGTGACCCCCAGTGAAGCATAAGCTATGACAACGTGGGTCTGTACAAGAGAATCATGTAATCAGCTGCAATGTGAAATGGCCTTATTATAAATCTTAAAAATCCTCAGACCTAATCCAGTCTGGAGCCATACACCTCCACCTCACACAAGCTCAGATACTCAGCTCTTCCAGGAATGACTATGTTAACAAAGCGACCATCCATTCCGTTACATGGGAAGTTTGCGGTGAAACCTCCAGTGATGCTTGAGATCACAGCACACCTAGTAGAAGAAGAAATGACTTTGTTAACTCATCGAATAGTCAATTTAATAAATGGATTGTTAAATGGAAGTTGCTGCTAAGTGTCTTTTTTTTTCACTCAGCATAAATGTGTTCCTCCAAACTAACCCAATGACAGATATACATTAGTCACAAGCTATTGTTACAGTAGTATTTTAATGAATGACTGTAAAGTACCTGGGATTGTTGTTGCCATTGTTGTCAAGAGAATCTCCAATTCGGATCTCAGCCCTATTAAGTCGTAAGGAAAAATTTTTGTAGTTGGTTATTTTAACAGAAAACACTTTATGGGTTTTGCCCAGGTCCAGTCGCCACCAGGGGTTTAATTCTTTGCTTGTGTGAGTACAAGAGCCCTGTTTCCAGTTGCTGGCACGGTTGCCATCTATGGCATTATATGGAATGCCTATAGAATGCAGTGACGACTGTGTAGCTTTTCCTTGGAGTGCCAGATTCTCCCCTGAACAAAGGACACAATTGCAAACATCAGCACTGACCATGATGCACTTTGCAGAAAACAAAGTGGCCTCGATGTGCGTTTGTCTTGAACCTATTTGCACATTGTGGCCCTTTCCAGTAGTAAGAGGGATACAGTAGAAGCTAGCAGTAGTAAATGTTTAAATTCTGTTGAATGAATAACAAATTTGCTTAACTTTTTTGGAAACTATCCAGAATCCCAGTAACTTTTGAGATACTGTTTTGTCTTATACATATTGTCTTATAATTTACCCATAACATTTTAAAATAAACCAACCAAATGTCAAGACACATTTAGCTCAAAAAGATACCAATTTGTAATGGAGACATCCAATAATAACAGAATGGGAATGTTTTCTTCATTCAAATGAATTCAAACTCTGGTGTGAGTAACTATGGTTGTATAGAAAATGAGGCAGCTGCATCTCATAGAAAATCACATCAGCCACATAATCAATTCTCACCGGTTGGGGCACGGTACCCATAGACTTCAACTTCGCAGAGTGTAAGGTACTTTCCTGAACCAGGTACAATCACAGTCACATAACGTCCCTCCACCAATGTGGTGAAAGCCATTTTTAAAGATCTGCCTGCTGGAATATGGGAAATCACACCAACCCTAAACAAAATAGAGAGAGAGAGCAGTGCGTCAATTTGTTTTGTACTGGCAGTACTTGAAAGGTATACAGCAATATAAAGTAAGAAACAATACCAATCCTTTGGCCACTCTGCCAGCAAACTGAGATTAAAAACTTACATTAAATTCATTATATAAGATTCTCACCCTTTTGTTTTAAATTAAAGATGGTTCCAGTGTACAAACTCTGCTTCTTGCGTTGCAACATGTTGTCAAGGTAAACAACAAACAGCTGATGAGAAGAAACTGTTTCATAGGTACAGCAGTAGTTTTTTAATTGTGACTAATTTTAAAATTTGGAATGATCACATACACATAGACCATCTGCACTACAGGTGTCCTGTTACTCTGTCTGTTTAAGGAAATTAATAGACATATGCCAGTCAGTCAAAATTGATCATTCTGTGTGGTCAAAACCTACAGTTTAAAATAAACAGGTTTGATTCTTTTTCTTCTTCTGCAAACTATGAAAACATGAGGATGAAATATAAATTATGTGATGCTATACATGAGCACAGTGCTCAAACTAATAGTCTATACTACCCAGAAACCTACAGGCAAATGCTGGATGTCTTATAGTTATCTGGAGGTGAGCTACATTGCCTGAAATAAGGACCACCTTTGCTAAAATCATAAAAAACAAATGCCGTTTTATGGAATGCAATGTTAACCTTCACGGAAGAAGAGCAGTGGCACAGTGTCACGATCTGGGTGGCTTATGTGTGATAAATAATTTTATAAGTCATAACGTTCACTTACACTGGGTTTGCAGCACCATTGTCTTGTAAAGAGTTGCCGATGTGAATCTCTGCCCCGTTGAGCCTTTCAGGACAGCAGTCTCCTCTGTTGGTGATGATGACAGAAGTGACAATGTAGGACTCCAGCAGGTCCACTCTCCACCAGGGGTTGGTCTGTCCAATAGTGTGGGTGCATGATCCAGCTGGGTAGTTAGAATTACGGTTTCCATCAATAGCATTGTAGGCAGATCCCAATGCGTGCTCTAAACTGTTTGACTGGGTCGCTTTTCCACGCAAGGCCACGTTTTCTATGAACAAGACAGTTGAAATACACGTTGGCATGGAAAATGGAAAAATGAGGCAGCTGAAACAACTTAGAAACACAACAGTGATGATATGGAAAACTTGTTGGCACACAGTTGCCTATTATTTCCACATCCTTCAGTTACACAGCAATATTATCATTCATTTGGAGCTGTGTGTTTCTGTCCAAAGCTCTGTTTTTGGTCCCTATCAGCTCCTGTGGAAAATATCTGGCTCTGTACCTGCTCAATTCTCCACTATGTTTACCAGCTAGTCTCTAACTGTGTCTGCCTGCTGAGAGATGTTTCACAACAGCTGCCTGCTGTGGCTGAAAACGGCTCTATGAACGCCATGACAGTGAACCAGAACAGTGATATTGTGGGCCAGACAGCTAAACAATGAGCTGAAACTCACTATAAAGCTCCATAAAGCTGAGCGAAGCTACAGATTCAGATGATAATTGTCTGTAGGTTCATCATTACGAGGAACTCTTTCACAATGTTACCTTGTTGTCACACTTTTGTGTATACATTATTATTATAGAAAATATTGATTTTAGCTTCGTAAGCGTAAACGTCTCAACCAATAAGTTGCTTATAGTTCATCTTTTACCTTAGCATATAATCAGTTAAAGGTTTTCACTCCGTACATAATTCCTGCTTCATATCGCACAGTGATGGCCACATGTCCAACAACAGTCACGTTGACTACACTACACAAATAACTAAACATGACTGTTTGATTTGTATCATACCTCAATTTACCATCTCTAAGTGACTACATGCGGTGACCCTACATTATTACTACCCACAACCTTTTGTGACCTCCACCAGCTTTTTATTATTTCATTTAATCCCAACTAGAAAGCACCAGAAATGTTTTTGCAACCCTGTTAAAAACACCCCACCAGACATGTTTTATTGTAAAGCATACATCAGTCTGCACAGTCAAGGTTAAACATCCAGATGAAGTAACAATGAGCAGAACACATTTGTAAGTGAAGGGGGACTTTAATGTTTTTTAAGAAAGATATCACAGATACCGCTGGATCACACTTACGATAGGTGTAAGCTGAGCATGTCCCCAGAAGGAGCTGCAAAAGCAGGATCGAGCTGTGTTTCATTGTTCTAGCTGAGACAGAGAATAGAGTCAACATTAGATTTACACTGCATAAATAAGCATTGTCAACATTATTAATGTATGATATTTATCCCAGACATACAACAATCTATGTTCCAGACATTAGAGATCCGAAGTGCATAAAAATGAACTCACTATTGTAACTGACTGACCGGTGGGTAATAAAAAAACAACATGTGTGTGTAGCCTTAACAATCGGAAATCAAAATAAGCCCCCAAACTGTCTATTTAAAAGCATGATTATTCAACTAAAACCACATACCTTGGCTTGCAAAATAAACTCAGAAGAAGATGAGGAGCCTCTGTTTGCTCTGTGTTGATGAATATGATTTGATGTGAACCACACAGGGACATTTATGTGCACATCTTATCATGGCCCATGCTGTTGTTTATTAATGATTTACCACAGGAGATTCTTTTTCCTTTTATGTAGATAAGGCTCATCAAGCAGATCAGTGATCTGCGACTTTTTATGATGTTTTTCAGTTCGATTTTGTCTGGCACTAGCCTTGTAAATTCACTGTTCAATACTTTATTGCCACATCTACTATGTCCTAAGAAGTGTGTTTGGCCATGTGCGGCCATAAAAACAGGGTGCAGGACAATAGAAGTGAAAAAAGAAATTCAAAAACCACAATATAGCAGCTCATTGAGAAAAGTGTGAAATGTATTAAAATAAACAGAACTTAGTTAAACACCTCAATTGATGCAGACTGCAAACAGCAGCTGCATACAGTAAATTATATTCTGGCACCAAGAAGTTAAGAGGCTTCAAAGAATGAGGAAAATTCTGTATTTCTCTGAGTTTGTGTCTCATGTCAGACAGAAGAGCAGATGAGTACCAGTGAGTTTTAAGTTTGTGCATACAATTTTGTCCAACTGCTTTTTCTCTTGGTCTGTGGTGACCAGGCTGTCTTACCAGGTATCTTGGTTTGCCTCATGAATAAAAGACTCTTAATAATCCTGTGTTGATGATGGAGATGATTTTGTCCACTTCAGAGAAGAGGAGATGGCATAAACCTGCTGCGGCTATAGCTGACCAAGCATAGAGCACAAAAACCAAACATCTCCAACAAACAAAGCAGCACTCTCACCAATACAGTAAATGTAACATTCTTTGTATATCAGAGCAATATTGCTATCTTTTCGAGTTACATTACAACGTTACTTGAGTGAACATTGCAACAATATAAATATCCAATTTTACTATGTGTTTTCCTTTTATAGACTATAGCCTTTCACAAGGTGGTGAACCAAAAGTTTTATGTTTCAGAAATCAGTTTTAATAAGCTTTTCACAGATATTTTAGCATGTCACTGTAGGAGAAACTTTTCTGTATCTTTCAACCAAGTGCAGCACTGTGAATGTCTTCCAGGATAGACAGTCTGAAAAGTTTTATCTCCATATTTAAATGATATTGGGTCTCCCCCCTCTCTATGATGGCCGTGTTTTCACCCTGCCTTTGGGTATAGTTGATTGGAACAAATATAAATACTTGTGTCTAGCATAATCCATTTACAGTAAAATGATTAGATCAATCAATCATTCAAACTTAAATTTATAGAGCACATTTCATCCTTGAATGCAACTGCTTAACAGCAAAAAGAGAGTCCTCAGTAGTAACATAAAGTAGTAGTAGTAACAACAAACAAACAAAATGTGTAAATAACTATAAGTTCATTAAAGGACTAAAAATAAATAGAAATCAAACCCAAAAAGATAAGATAGGAACAGATGTGTACATATTCAAATAAAGGATTAAAATATATATATATAAATCACGTGCAACAAAATCATTAGGACAGAAGGAGACAATTATATGTAATGTACACACCTTTCTTCTTGAAGACGAAATTATTTTGTTAACTCACCGAATGGTCAGTTGAATTAACTGATATGAAATGACAGTTATGCCCAACCTATATTCCTTGATTTTTTAAACTGAGCATAAATGTGTTTCTCCAAACCAAATCAATGAGGGATATATAATAATCACAAACTAAATGTTATAGTAGTATTTTAATTAATAACTGAAAAATACCTGGGATTGTTGTTGCCATTGTTTTCAAGAGAATCTCCAATTCGGATCTCAGCTCCATTAAGTCGTAAATAAGATAAGTAGTTGGTTATGTTAACAGAAAACACTTTATGGGTTTTGCCCAGGTCCAGTCGCCACCAGGGGTTGAATTCGCTCGTTGTGTGAGTACAAGAGCCCTGGGCCCAGTTGCTGGCACGATTCCCATCTATGGCATTATTTGCAACACCTGTAGAATGCAGTGACGACTGTGTGGCTTTTCCTTGGAGTGCCAGATTCTCTCCTGAACAAAGGACACAATTGCAAACATCAGCACTGACACCTAGTTTCCCCTGATGCACTTTGCAGAAAACAAAGTGGCCCCAATATGTGATTTATTTGCAGTGGTAATAGGAAACAGTAAAAGATGGTGAGGTTATGGAAAGTTGGATCAGCACTGCAAAATTTAAAGAATGCACCAGCAGAAAGCTGTAGTTAATGTATAAATTGTTTTGTATGTTAGTGTTACACCAGGCCTAGGGGAAATCTGAGCACAACATAAAAATGTGTTCCCCACTTTTCCCACTCCCAGGAAGTGCCAGTACATCAACTGATGCAGTCCAAAACAGAGACTGTTGAACAATTATTGTAAGCATTGTGAGTTCAGGTGTGATGGAGACTGATGAAAACTTAACATAGCATGGTTTATTGATCCCTGCCGAGGAGATACAGTGTCAGCATACAACATGTAAACACATCACATGCCAACACCTAAGTATAACATCTTTAGGTCCTAGCTTTTTTGTTTCTGTCTTCCCCCTAGTGCCTGTAGATTTCCCTTTTAGGTCATCTTTAACTGGTCTTAACCTAGACTCCAATGCAACGTCATATTGGAATCTATTTCAATCCATTCCAGTTGTACTCTAATCTGTGGAGTCAGTACGTTCTTGTAGACATCCTAGTGAGATTCCCAGAAAACACAGATATCTGCTAGCCTGACGCCTGAGCTGCTGTCTTTATCAGTCTAACTGTTGTCTCCCTAAGAAGGACATGAGGGAAATAACTAGAGCTGGAAGGTCAGTGAACACTTGTGGGGTCAGCTAATGACTCCAAGCTTGACCTGTCTTACCTTATACTGTTACATCAATTAAGCCCACTAAGAACATTCTTCAATATAGATGAATTTATTCACTAACCTGAGAAACATAGATGTTGGGGAGAGCATAGCCAAAATAAAGAAACAATTCATATTATTACAAACGAACTTGCCTAACAGAATAAAGAACAAAAGAAAATACAGGCCGCTTACCGCTAACTCCCCCTTCAAGGGTTTCCATGACCACACTTTAAAGTTTGTTTTTAACTCTTGTCTTACATTCTGTACAAATCTTGGTTCATCACAAACTAACTTAGCAATACTCACACCCACTCTTCTTTTAAGCTGTCAAAATTAAACATCCGACTGGGCAATGGCGCATCTCACTGTATTGCAAATTAGACTTGAGATGCATTTGCTCAAATAGATACCATTGTGCAAAGGTGAGATCTATCAGTAGCAAGAAATACCAGAACGTGCATTTTCCCTATTAGGTTAAAAATCCAAACAAATGTGATTGAACTTCTGGAGTTGTTAGCTGTATAGAAAATGAGGCAGCATCATCTAGAAAATCACATCTTCTGTTCCTTCAGCGTCATACTTAATTACATAATAGTTCAAATTCTCACCGGTTGGGGCACGGTACCCATAGACTTCCACTTCGCAGAGTGTAAGGACCTTTCCTGAACCAGGTAAAGCCACGGTCACATAACGTCCCTCCACAAGTCTGCCTTTCAGGACAGCAGTCTCCTCTGTTGGTGATAATGACAGAAGTGACAATATAGGGTTCCAGCAGGTCCACTCTCCACCATGGGTTGGTCTGTCTGTTCAACTGTGTGGGTGCATGATCCAGCTGGGTAGTTAGATTCACGGTTTCCATCAATAGCATTGTAGGCAGATCCCAATGCGTGCTCTAAACGGTTTGACTGGGTCGCTTTTCCACGCAAGGCCACATTTTCTATGAACAAGACAGTTGAAATACACATTAAAATGTATAATAGAAAAATTAAGCAGCTGAAACAAGTTATGAACACAACAATGATGATATGGCGAGGTTAGATACTTGAAGCTTAAATAAATTTCTCAACCAATAAATTGCTGATAGTTCATCTATTTCCATAGTCAAGTTTTCACTCAGTGCATAAATGTCCTGCTGAAGATGTTTAATAGACAACTTCACTGACTGTGAACAGACGTGATTGAGATGTTTGGCCGCGCAAGGCCACGTTTTCTGCGAATACATACAAATGTAGCAGAGATTACCGCACAGCGATTGTCATTTGACTAACAAAGGTTGGTCACCTTGACATACACAAATAACTAAACATAACATATTCTGTTTGTTTTATTATAATTTAAGATGAGCACAGAGAAACTTTCCCCCTTCAGCACATGAACATGAAAACAGTCTTCTACTGTAAAACATGAATCATTCTGCACAGTGAAGCTCAAACATCCAAGTGACCAAGAACATGTAAACTCAGCACTTTGGGTTTAAATGCAACACTCTGCAACTGGATATTGGACTTCCTCACAAACAGACCCCATTCAGTTCGGATTGGCAGACACACCTCCTCCACCTTAACTCAACACCGGAGCCTCCCAGGGCTGTGTGCTCAGCCCCCTCCTGTTCACACTATAAACCCGTGCCTGCATCCTCCAACATGGAGAGAACTCTGTTGTGAAGTTTACGGATGACACCACCGTCATCCAGCCAGATTTCAAACAACGATGAGACTTCATATCTGGAAGAAATTCATAAACTTATAGAGTGGTGCTAAGAGAACAACTCACAACTCAACGTCAGCAAAACCAAGGAGCTGATCATTGATTATAGGAAGAAGGAGATAAAGACACACTCCTGTCTACATCAGCGGTGCTGAGGTGGAGCAGGTGAACAGTTTCAAGTTCCTGGGAATCAGCATCACAGAGAACCTGACGTGGTCATCTCACATCTCCATGCTGGTGAAAAAAGCTCAGAAACGACTGGATTTCTTGGAAGCTTAAGAAGGCCAAATTCCCACACCAAGTTCTTGTCAGCTTTTACAGGGGAGCAATAGAAAGCATCCTGACTGGAAACATCACAAACTGGCATGGGATGTGCACGGTCCAGGACCGGAGGGCTCTGCAGCGGGTGATTAAAACTGCTCAGAAGATCATTGGTACCCATCTCCCGAGCATCAGTGATATCTGTGAGGTGAGGTTCCTACGCAGAGCCCGAAGGATACTGAAGGACATTACCCATTACCCCATAGCCACAGCCTGTTCACCCTGCTGCCTTCTGGGAAGAGACATAGAAGTTTCTGCTGCCGCACCACCAGACTGTAGAGCAGCTTTCCCCCCAAGCTATCAGACTCTTAAACTCTAATCAACCTCAGCACTGCTCCATTGATTATTGTTTATTTCTGTTTACCATTTTTTATAATTTCTTCAGTATTAATGTATATTGTCTGCTATATAGGGAGTTACAAAACTCAATTTCACTCTATAAATTGTTGTATTGTGACAATAAACCTACCTACCTATGTAAATGTTTGAGTGGAGTGAGACTTTAATGTTTTATAACAAAGATATCATAGTTACAGCCAGATCACACTTACGATAGGAATAAGCCGAGCACGTCCCCAGAAGGAGCTGCAAAAGCAGGATTGAACTCTGTTTCATTGTTCTGGTTAAGGCAGAGAATAGAGTCAACAATAGATTTACATTGAAGAAATAAGCATTGTCAACATTATTACTGTGTGAAATTTATGCCAGACATACAACAATCTGTGTTTCAGAAGTTATATGTCCAAAGTGCATAAAAATGAACTCAATTAATATAAATAAATGACAAACTACGTGTGTGTTACATGTCTGTAACTGTCAAAAATAAATGAACCCACAACAACAACCACATACCTCGACTTGCAAAATAATAATAATAATAATCCTTATTTGTAGAGCACTTGTCAAAAACAAGTTACAAAGTGCTTTAACAAGTGTAAAGAATAATACAAAAAAACAAGATAAGAGCATGAAAAATTAATATAAAATTAGTAAAATACAATAAAATAAAAGGGATAAAATAAAGTCAAATAAGATCGGGAAAGGCTCTCCTATAAAAGTATGTTTTAAGAAGGGACTTAAAACAGTTCACTGACTCAGCCGACCTGATTTCCTCGGGCAGGCTGTTCCAGAGCCTCGGGGCCCTGACAGCAAACGCTCTGTCCCCTTTAGTTTTCAGTCGAGACTCTGGAACAGACAACAGACCTCTGCCCGAGGATCTCAAGGTACGTGCTGGTGCATATGGGACTAAAAGTACAGAAATATAACAAGGCGAGAGGCCATGAAGAGCTTTAAAAGTGATCAATAGAATTTTAAAGTCAATTCTAAAACATACTGGGAGCCAGTGTAATGAAGCTAAAATAGGAGTAATGTGGTCATATTTCTTTGTTCTGGTTAAAAGCCTGGCAGCTGAGTTCTGGACAGTCTGGAGTCGATCAATAGATTTTTGGGTTAAACAGGTGAAAAGGCTGTTGCAATAATCCAGGCGTGATGAGATGAAGGTGTGTAAAATGGTCTCGGTTTCCTTAAAAGTTAACATAGATCGAATTTTTGCTATATTTCTAAGTTGATAAAAACATGATTGAACAAGCTTTGTGGTGTGCTGCTCGAAATTTAAATTACTATCAAACCAAACACCAAGGTTCTTTGCCACAGGCTTAATGTGATTTACTAGGGAACCAGCAGATGGCAGTATTTGATTTGCCATCTGCTGAGACCCGATGACCAGGATTTCTGTTTTGTCTGAGTTCAGCTGGAGGAAATTATTTGACATCCATTTTTTAACTTCACAAAGGCAGTTGTTAAGTGAACTCAGCATTCGAGGGTCTGTGGATCTGACGGGCAAGTATATTTGTGTGTCATCAGCATAAATATGAAAAGAAATGCCATGTTTATAGATAATAAGTCCAAGGGGAAGCAGATACTAGGAAAACAAAATGGGTCCTAAGACCATCCCCTGAGGCACACCATATTTAACTGGACAGAATGAGGAGACATAGTTGTTTACAGACACACAAAACTTCCTATTTGACAGGTAGGATGAAAACTATTCTAGGGCCGTACCAGAGATCCCCACCCAGTGCCTCAGTCTGTCTAACATGATGTTGTGATCAATGGTGTCAAAAGCAGCGCTAAGGTCCAGGAGTACCAGGACTGAGCACATACCTTCATCAGCAGACATTAAAAGGTCATTGGTGACTTTAAGCAGGGCAGTCTCAGTGCTTTCAATTCAATTCAATTCAATTTTATTTATATAGCGCCAAATCACAACAACAGTTATCTCACAGCGCTTTTCATAAAAGAGCAGGTCTAGACCATACTCTGTGATGATATTTACAGAAGCCCAACAGTTCCCACCAAGAGCAAGCACTAGGCGACAGAGGCAAGGAAAAACTTCCTTTTAAGAGGCAGAAACCTCGAGCAGAACCATGGCTCAGGGTGGGCGGCCATCTGCCTCGACCGGTTGGGGTGAGAGAGAGAGAGAGAGAGAGAGAGAGAGAAAAAGAGAGTGAAAGAGAGAGAGAGAGAGAAAGAGAGAGAGAGGGATGTAAGGAGAGAGAGAGGGGAGGGAGGCAGCCTACACAATATACACACAGAGGTACAGACAGCGAAGGTAATGTTGCTATAAACTAAATGAAAAATGGTACAGATATTTATAATAGTGTTAATGGTAACCATCGTAATGTTAATGATTATAATAACAATAAGACTAGCAACAATAGTCGTTGCAGTAGAGGGTGTCGAGCAGGAACACGGGGGCAGCAGGCGACCCGCAGCCACAGATCCAGACTCCACAGCTCCAGAGCCAGAAAACCTGCAGGAAGTGATAGGAGGAGAGAGGAGAGGGACGAGAAAGCACAAGACTACCAGAAAGGGGAGAAGTTGTGTTAGTAACATGCAATAATGGGATAAGGTTGCATACAGAGGGAGAGAAAGTAGAGGAGAGAGGAGCTCAGTGCATCATGGGAAATCCCCCGGCAGTCTAGGCCTATAGCAGCATAACTAAGGGATGGTTCAGGACTACCTGAGCCAGCCCTAACTATAAGCTTTATCAAAGAGGAAAGTCTTAAGCCTACTCTTAAATGTGGAGATGGTGTCTGCCTCCTGAACCCAAACTGGAACCTGGTTCCACAGGAGAGGAGCTTGATAGCTGAACGCTCTGGCTCCTAGTCTACTTTTGGAGACTCTAGGAACCACAAGTAACCCTGCATTCTGGGAGCGCAGTGCTCTGGTGGGGTAGTAAGGTACTATGAGCTCTTTAAGATAAGATGGTGCCTGACCATTAAGAGCTTTGTAGGTAAGAAGAATGATTTTAAATTCTATTCTGGATTTTGCTGTGGTACTTCTTAAAACCAGACTGAAACTTTTCAAATAATTTGTTATTTTCCAGTACAGTGAGCAGCTGTTTGGACACAATTCTTTCTATAATCTTTGCAATAAAAGGCAGTTTTGAAATTGGTCTAAAATTTTGATGGAGGGAAGGATCTAAACCAGGTTTCTTTAAAAGTGGGTTCACGCAAGCCGTTTTAAAATAATCAGGGACACCACCAGTAGATAGGGAGCTGTTGAAAACAGAGATCAAATGGGGCCCAACAGAATCTATTACTTTCAGTAAAAATTTTGTAGGTATTACATCAAGTGGGCTGGAGGACACTCTCATTTGTGATACTGTTTTTAAAAGCTCAGACAAGTCGATGGGATAAAACTGGTTAAAACTCTGTTGTTGCTGGTGAGGAACCTCTGAGTAAGAGGCCACGGGGGTAATAGAGGCTCTGATTGACACCACCTTATTGGTAAAATAAGATAAAAACAATTCACAGTCATCATTACTTCCAGCTGAGGCACAAGGAGGGGTTGGGTTTACCAGCTGATCCACAGTCTTAAACAGAAACCTGGGATTGTGTTTATGTGTAGTAATGAGTTCAGAAAAATAGTGTGTTCTTGCATCCTTAACCATGTTATTGTAGTTAATTAATAAATCCTTCAGACTGAGGTAATGGACTTGGAGACTGGATTTTTTCCATCTGCGTTCTGCTTTCCTGCATTCCCTTTTTAGGCTGTGAATGCTGTCATTTCTCCAGGGTTGCTTACTAGCTTTAGACGTAGGCCTAACCTTTAGAGGAGCAGTAATATTTAGTGACGACAAGCAGATATGATTGAAGTGATCGACCAGATTGTTGGTGTTGGAATCAGACAGGTGTTGGCTTTGTTTGTGCTGTGTTGATGAATATGATTTGATATGAACCACACAGGGACATTTATGTGCACATCTTATCATGGCACAAGCTGTTTATTGATGATTTACCACAGGTGATTCACTTTCCTTGTATGTAGACTCATTTCTGCTATCAAGCAGATCAGGGACCTGCAACTTTTCATGATTATTTCCCTTTGATTTTGTCTGGCGCTAGCCTTGTAATTGTAGATTAACGATTCAAAATTAGATTAGAAAAAAGCAGCATTCTCACATACAGTTAATGTAACATTATTTTATTCTTCTAACGTTAAGTAAATCAGATGAATATTGCTATGTTTTCAAGTTACATTATGACATTAGTTAAATGAACATTGCAACAATGTAAAAACGCACTTTTGTTATTTTTGTTTCTTTTATAGACTTAATTTGTTTTGAAAAATGTCACCTGTCCTTGCAGTCATTCCCCCAAAATATGGTAGTTCTTTCTGGTCTGATAAACAGAGAGATAAAACAGTAAAATTATAGAATAGCAATATAGCTGATGTTCTTCCGGGTGGATCATATAAGGAACAATTTCCCGGTTAGGTTAGATAATTTGTGTACTTTGTTCAAGGTAATATTGATGCTAAAAAGGAAAACAAGCAATGAAGTGTGGGGACAAAATAATAAAGAAAAGGCCCACAAATTGCTAGAGAAGCATTGAAAATGTGTTTGATTTCTGCTCACACTGATGGTGTTTTGGTTAAATGTAATCATATAAAACTGAATGACCCTAATGTATTAAAGATGCAGTGGGAGGAAATGCATTAGGCTTGCTTTAATGTAAAATGTGTAGAACTCATCAATTGTACCAGTTATTAGAATGAGATTATTTACTGTTGATCAGTGTGTGCATATATATGTATAGAAAACAACAACATTTTAATGCAGTTTTTATTGTAAACAGAACTAATTATATAACTCATAATAACTCACTAACGATAGCATCATAGTAAGCTCACGTATAAATGACCAATATTTCTGCTGTGTTCAGGCACTGCACAAAACATTTGTGTGCAAAAACAAAATCACAGTGATGTGCCAAAAAGATGGAACATATGTTTATTTGTATGTGTTCAAAGAGGGTAAAAGATGAAAATGTTTTAAAGTAAGGGAGACCAGGGGTAAATCTAACATGTTTTACATTTTCCTTCATAACTCACAGACTTGAAATAGTCATCTTTTGATACAAGAAACATATAGATGCACTAATAAATTATACAATTGATGTCTAATAAGGACAAGACCACAATATTAAATTAAATGCAAGAAGAGTGTTACAATTGTCCCTTGTTGCAGTGCCCCCAGTCTCCCCTATTTTTATTGCAAAAAGATTTATTTGCAAACATTATGACAGAGAAAAAAAATGCCTGTTAAAAAC